TTCTTCTCAAATTTATGATAATATGTGTGTATACCATCTAATGAACAAATGACAAATAGAGATAATGAAATGTGCAAAATATAAATTAATCGCCAAAATATTTGTTTTGTACAAAAAGGTACGAAAATCTTATGAATCACAATTTAGAAGATAAACAAAAAAGCCTTTGCCAAATGTGTGAGTATGTGGAATACAATCCTTTTTGGGTACCAGCGAATTGAATGGTTGTATGTATGTCAGTTTACAAAAATATAATTTTCTTTATTATTATGTTATGTAAAAGCGAAACAATGTTTTTAAAATATATGTATGTTTTACATTAGAACATGTTTGAGCCAATGTAAAAAAGAACCAACATAAGAACCGAATAAATGAAACATAAATGAATGTTTCAACAAATATTTGTATTCAGTTTGACCCTTGCAGCTCTTGGAACTAGTGTCGCTGTGAAAAATAAGGTAAATTTGTTTTGAATCCATTTTCATTACAATCTTTTAACTGTTGTGTTTATGTTAACATTTAAAGTTTAAATAGCTTTTTTTAAAACTGCAGGGTGTGTTGGTATTTAAATCCTTGTAATTTTATACTACACACAGTTACAAACATAAAAGTTTATACATATTCATACTCATATGTTCTTGTACAATACATTAATTTTAACAAAAATGTAAAATGGAATATTTAAATTAATGTGTTTTCTCACAGGACTTTGAATGAATGGGTAGTTAAATAACTTTCCACATAATTTCAAATGTAGCAAATTAATGTTATTTTGTTTATAGAATTATATTATTTTAATTGTGATTTTTTAGGTGTACATAATTATGAAATCATTTGGTATATTTGGTATCACTTAGAGTATACTTACTATATTGAACATATATTAATCATACGCCCTCATGGATTAGAAATATAGATTAAAAATTGTTGTACATTTATACATATGCATGTTTATTATCCTATCATTATTAGACACAGACTACATTCTTTTAAATACTGGATATTTAATAGCACAGGAGAATATGAGTGTCTTTTGGTTTGTTTATATACATACATAAATAAGTTTACATACAGATGTACATATATAAAGCAGGTGTAGTATTAGGGTGGTCGTTTATCTGAACATTCTGAAAACAAACTTATTTATATTTTTTAACAATTATATTTATAAAAGAAAACATTTTTAATCATAATTTGGTCAAAAATAAAAGCTGTATTTGAAGTTATTAAAAAATAGACCGAAGTAACTTCCACTGAAAATGTGATTTAACTGCTTAAACAACCAAATCGATCACCCTTGTATGTAGATATTTTCGTATGTATAAATACCATCCGGTTTTCACATATTGTGTTACATAAACATATTAAAGGTGAACACTGGAACATAAATATAAATTTATTTACGTAAAGTCATATACATACACTGTAAATATGTACGAATGTCAAGCTTTTGGATATACAAGAAAATTTATATTTATTTTAATAAAAGTAAAACCAGCTACAATGGAAAAATGTACTAAAAAAGGAACAACATCAAATTTACATTACTCTAAACATATATTTGTAATACTTGTTAACAAATTATGTACGTTAAACATTAGTACGTAGAACATTAGTTAGATTAATTAGTTCTATTTTGTAAATTCAAATGATATCAAAATTTACCACATTTGCTAATATTAGTTGTCACTTATCTTGACACGAGCAAATATTTTCCCATAAATGAATTTACTTTGCATCTTTCAATTCATCAAAATGAAATTATAAAGAAATATATGTCAAATAATATTTTGGAATTAGGTCAATCGCATATTTTAAAAGTTTGACATTTTTTGTATGTTCTTCATGAACAAAACATTTATTTAATATCCTTTAGAGACATTTTTTGAGATATTTTTATACCCTATGCTTGAGATAGGAAGTTTTATTTGTAATGAACAAAATTGCTCCACCAAGTACACTAATCGTCTTAGAATAATTTCCTGAGTCAGAATAATTTGTAATCAAACTGGCAGCACCAAAGACCTCTTTTCACTACTTCTTCATTAGCATTTTAAGTCATTATTTTAACACGGTGATGTCATTGTAGGCAAGTATTTCCACGCTCGCTTGCAAATAGGGAGTTAATGAAGCACTTGCAATTTCTCTTACAAAGAAGTCGGTTAGTAAGTTGTTTTATTTTTTTAATAATAAAAAGAGTCAGCTAGAATACGAACCAGGGACTTCGGTTTTTAGTCAAATGTTCTAATCCACTGCACCACTGCTTAGCTATTTTATTGCGCGTCAAATAATGGTAAAAAAAATGTTTAAAAAAAATGGTAATTAGTAGTCGTTGAAAAGTAAGTGGCTATGGAAGTACAACGCATTACCGAGTTTTTGCTGGGTACAAATCAAACACCCAAATAATTCAGGCGTTCGATTTGAAATTTTATTGAATAAATGAATAAAATAATTTTTCCGGTCTCAAAAATTCCGCAATTTTGAGCTGATTACGGGAAAAATAATCTTAAAATTTGTGTAGAGTATTTTTAGTCCATAAATGATCTTTAGTGGGTTGGAGAGGCATATAATGTCGGAATTTTTAGCTCATTCAGAAAAGTATTTAAATTTAAAAGTATTGAAATTTATATTCCCTTATAATACAATAAAAGTCGTTTTGGGTACCAGAAATACACTAGCAAAAATTTTAATTATTTCCCCACGATAAACTCAAAATTACGGAATTTTTAACACCCATTTTAAAAAGATTGCAGACATTTTTTTGAACACTTTATACTGAGATCAAGATTTTCAATCACAAATCTTATACTAATACTAATAACATCATACTACAATCAATTTAACTTGTTCCAACTAAGTTTAATACTTGAATAGCGGAAAACTGGTCTTGTTCAGATTAACCGTTTTCTCCAGTCCTTTTGGACCAACAAAATATGTTAAAAATTTATTTTTCATTATATAAAAGTATGTGATTCTGATAATTGGTTTGTACATACTTTATTTCCAAGGCACAATTCAGTCGTTAAAAGTAATAACCCAACGCAATAACGAAGTGATTTGTAAAATTAACTTTTTGTTTGATAAAGCGTTCATCTTTGAATGTGATGCGTTCAACGCAGGGAACATATTGCAGCGAACATATTGATAATCTTACAGCTATGTCGGTAAATGCTTAACATTTACTTAAGGCATCAGTGCATTGCATTTTTTAGACAGAAACATATTTTGGTACTTACTTCCTCAGAAACAAAGAACCAGACTGTATGGCTACATTCTCTCCAGAGTTAATGTACAAAATCAACAGAAATAAGAGCTTAGCCCAAATAGCCCTATTCACTTCTATAGACTAACAAGGAATCTTTAAAATATCAAGACGCGATTAGAGGTTCACCTCAAGGGAACGTATTGTTGATTTTGTTTTTTAATAGTGCAAAGCCAGAGGTATACCATGAATTGGTTTAACACAACGATATGCGGAATGCGGACTTACTGTCTTGCCATTAGCAGCCCTAGATGCTTTTTTATTGGACCAGAACCTATTTGGTATTTCCACGCTGGGGAAAGTTTGATCGCATAGCTTCGGTATTTAAAGGTAAATTTCTGAAACCAAAAACTATTCGTTGAATTTGCAAAAACATTTATTTAAATTTTTCAATCAATTTTTGTGTTTTTTATCTTTTTGAAATGCTTATTCTGTTTACATTACGATTTCTTTACAACAAACTTCAAAATTTTCGATTTGATAATTTAATGGCATATTGTATTAAACGGTACCTTTTAACGTTAGGCTATCAGCCAAATTTTTTGCACGACACTAGTTTTACAACCCAAAGAGCAATTCTATTGGAGGGGATGGGCAATATAGTTTAAACGTACTAAACTTTTCACGAAGATGTAGAGTATAATTACGGATTATTCCAGAGTTCACTGCTTACATGCTGAAAGATAGTCAAATTAACTTTCAAGAAAGTAAGTTAATTACAAAAATGTAAGGCAAATTTTCCTTCTTGACCTCATCTTATATTTAGCTAATAATAATGATTATTGTCTGTGTTGGCCATAACAATTCAATTAATGTAATATACATCATTTAATATAAACAAAAACCATCTTAAGATGGATTCACTAATTAAAACTTTTAAGCTTGTTAATAAACATTTTAATAAACACTTGATAATCATAAGAAGGCATTAAAAGAATAATTTTAAATGGTGTTAATTTATTATCTAATTTGCATATATACGAATTTTTTGTTATTATCTTGTAATTTAAAAAATTTAAATGGTATTAATTGGCATTCAAATATGGTAGAAGTGGAGAAATAGTTAATTATGTTTCAGTGTTGCCATATGATTTGCTATTTTAGATTTCTTTTACAATACTCACAATACATTTAAATTCTTAAACACAATTGCTTTGGCTTTGAATAATGTTTAAAAGTATGCTTAAGAAGGTAAGTATAAGGGAATCTAATAAAGACCAAGTTCAAATAGAAAATAATGCTGAGGAAGTACCCCTAACAGAGATCGCGTTCTCTTAGTATTGATATTCTGATTCAAAATAATCTGTCTGATGTCATAAATTCGGCATTTAAAACTGAAACGGTTTCTCTGGGTATTGTTATAAAACTTCTTTAAAAAAATATATATAATATTTTGTATCATGTAGTGATATGTACATCATGACCTCTAGTGGACTATAAATTTAAGTATTCAAATATCCAAAAATACCAAATCTGGTATCACTATTCGTATAGCTAGCAATCCCAGGTTAAGTAGTTATATTTAACGAAGAACGATACTGACAAAGTGTTACCGTTTCAACTTTGAGAGTTAATTAAAAACAATACACTCTTGACTCTAATTTTCTTTAATTGACACTTGAATAAAAAAGTTTTATTTCTGTTTTTGTTGTTCTGCTCCCCTTTTCCTTTTTCTAATGTGTTTGAGTGTGTGTCTGATTGTGTTGTAACTGTTTTTTGTTTTTGTTTTTCAACTTACATTTGTTATCCATCCAATATTATTCTAATCCCTTTTGTCTGGCGGTTATTTTCTCGTTTTCAGCTCTTTTTATGCTGATGCTCTTCTTGTAGTTTGTTAGTTGTTGTTGTAGTTGTTTATAAAACTGTATTTGCAAGAGTTTGTTGGTATGCGTGTTTTTGGATAAATAAGTTGAGTACTATTATTATTGTTGTTATTATGAAAATATCCTTGAAATACAAAACACCATACGGCAGAGCTGAGGGTTGAGAAAACAAAAGAGGTGTGTATAGAAGAAGAAAAAACGTAAACAACAGCTACAATAATATTAACATTAACCACGCCAACAACAACAACAATAGCGGCTGTAGCAGCAGCAGCAGTAGCAACTATAAGATTAAATAACGAAGTGCGATATTGTATATAAACAGAGTAAAATTTAATTACACGAAATGTATGTCATTACCACTAAGCACGTGCTCGCTATTACTTTTACAAATACACAAACGCTTGCACGCACACCGAAACGTTACGTATACGTTCAGTGTATTTAGTTGCAAGTACCGTTATACTCATATATACATTCAAACAAACATACACTTATTTATAGATGTGTGTTAGTTACGACCTCGTTACCGGAAGTTGAATAAACTTTGTTGTTTTTGTAGATTTTTCTTATTTGTTTTTATATATTTTTTTCTATATTTTGTTCACTTTTATTTTTATAACTTGTTTATTTGCCAGCGTGTGTGCGTAGTAGTGATGTGATGATTATTAAATAAAGTACTGATTTCACTATAAATGCTGTTTACTATTGCTGTAGTTATTTTTTTACTATTTTAATTGCTTTAGTATTATTGCTGATTAGAAGGAGAAGAGTAGATAGGCTTTAGAGGATTAAATAAAGTGTATCGTATTGTAAACAAATAATTATTATGTATTTATGTACTTAATTCACTTGTGATAATATCAATTGACATAATTAACAGCTTAAATAAATATTTTCATTTACCATCCGTCATATTGTATTTGTTTTTTTTTTTTTTTTTTTGTTTTTACTTTACAATACTTTAACAGTTTTTACATTTTAAATTCTCACAGGACTTTTATTGAGTAATAGAAAAGCTCTTTTCTCTATACCATATGAGCGCACATTTTTCTTAATATTACATGTACATACATATAACTCTCGTTTGCTCAGTTCTTGTGTTCGAAAACATTATAGCCAGAATTGCATTCGTTGTTTGTCGTAAGTTTCTTCTCAGAGAGTACTAAATACTGGTACATAGGTCGATAGAATAATAACTATAGAGAACATAATAGATTTTTAAGTATTACTTTATCGGCATTCGCGGAAAATCACACTTACATACATCCACACTACATACGTACATATAAATATGCATGTGTGTATATCTTATTACGTGTATTGTTGTCTAGGACAGTGTTGCCAAATTATAACTTTTATTTCAGTCAACCAAAATGTTGGAATAGCGGACGGAATTTTGTTTTTGAAATTTGTTCTATTTTATTGACTTACCCACTTTTATATACTAACAATTTCTTATGTTCTCTAGAAGATAAGATTTGGTTGAAATGTAAAGGAAATATAATTTTAATGGCACAATTTTTCATGAAATATAATAAGTTTACTCAATTTTACACGTTTCAACCGAATTTTGGCACGATTGGGAGAAAATTTAACATCAGTTAGTTTTAGACACTGATGAACAAAAAGACCAAAGTTTGATCTGGATAACAACTTCCCAGAAACAACTTACATTGAAAAGTAATGAGTTAAAAAGCTAATAAAACCTCTTTTCACTAATTCTTCATTAGCATTTTAAGCCACGCTCGCTTACAAATAGGGAGTTAAAGAAGTACTTGCTACTTCTCTTACAAAAAAGTTGTTTAGTAAGTTGTTATGTTTTTTAATAATAAAATGAGCCAGGGAGAATACTCCACACCACCACTGCTTAGCTATACGAATTAGGGACTTCGGTTTGTTAGTCTAATGTTCTACTCCACTCCACCACTGCTTAGCTATTTCATTTCGCGTCAAATAATGGTTTTCACATACAAATTTAATTTTGGTTTCTTTTTTGTAAAACACAATTCTTAACACGCAATTAAATAAAATGTGCAAACATAATGACAAAGCCGAAAATAAAGTATTTCCATATCAAATTAAAAGAAAGTTATTGCTAAAGTACTTCTAAGTAATACAGACGGTAAGTAGTAGTCATTGAAAAGTAAGTGGTTATGTAAGTATAACCCATTACCGAGTTTTTGTTGGGTTACTAAGGATATTATTTTTTGACAAGAACTTAATATGGGAGCTTAATAAGATATTTATATCAAATTATTTCAAAAATTCGTACAAAGAAGTCCAATTTTGATGAAATGCGGTACACAGAGGGAAAAACCCCTGTAGAAAAGTACCAAAATTGACGCAATTCTTTGTCAAAAGTAACCTTAATACGTTTATTAACATTTAGGCAACGGATATGTACACAATTTAAATAACACAATAGTAACAATAAGAACAACGCATCGTCATTGCAACAACCCATTGTTGTCATTTTGATTACGCTTTGCATCATTTCGGCTATGCATCGTTGCGATTTCGACATTCTGTTTGTCAACATGGCGTTGTCAATTTTGATAATACATCGTTTTCACTTCGAAACGATATTCCATATAAATAAATAAATAAATAAATAATATGAACAAATTTTAAAATTTTCGTAGTTAGCTGCCAGTTGTAGATCGAATATTCGTTTATGATTTGACAACGTCATGTATTTTTTTTTTATTTAACAACTATCCGTACATAGTTTGACAACGGATGTTATTGAAAAATTTTATACACTTTCAATGTGGTACACACATAAATTTTTTCGCATAGATACAAAATCTAAAGTTTTTTCAACTTTCCAAAATTGTTATGATTTACATTTTATAGAGGTTTAAAGTTCATAATTTTTAAAAATTGGTTCTTTAAGTCATGAAATTTTATATCGAACATTCCGGTAGAAGTTTGTCCAAATATGGGCCGATCGGAAGAAAATTTCAAAGATTATTTTGATTATAAAAAACATTTGCAAAATTGAACTTGGTTAAGGCATTTATACTTTAAATGGCCCATTTAAAGAGTCAAATGTATGGGCACTAGGTAAGATAATAAATGAATTTCAATAATTTCCAATAGGTTCATTCTTGTTACAAAATATTCACATCTTCTAATAACAAGATTTGCAATTGTCTGTATTTCAAAGACATTGGTAAATCGCCTCAGAAAGTAAGAAAGAATGATCAGATTGAGAGATGCTTAAAGTTGGGTGCAGGTTATAAAAAGCAGCTTAGAAGCTAATATCATTTTCTGAAAGAGAATAGATTTTAACCATATTTTTCAGTTTCATTTCTGGACCATCTAAGTTCTTATGACCTACGTATTTAAAAGATGTACATTGCTTAGGTCAAATTCGTTTCCTCTTCTGTTCGTTAACCTAGATTTTGCTTCTATGTATGATAAAACACATGTCTACAGATGTATTCTGTAGGTACTAAATGTCTACGAACGCCTTTGTATCTATTTCAAAATTCTCGGAGAAATGGGAGAATTCCCTAAAATGTAAAAGTCCATTGGTTATATTTTTAACCTTTTTGAGGTTTATAGAATTTTAATTTCGATTATAAATTAATACGAAACAAATTTCAAACACTAATGTATTCAGAAGTAGTGAGAACACAAAAAGTTTTAAAAATCCGTCGGCATGACGTGAACAAAATTTTATATATTTGATGAATTATTGCTTGGCCCTTTAGTTATTTTTGGTATTAAACCTAAATTCAGAAATAAACTTGAAATTTATTTGATAACCCCTGACCCTAAAAATCACTTTTGTTGCAACACTGAATAATATGAAACGAGCACTTGTGCGTATACATGAGAAGTTTCTGTTAGTTTGTCGGCAAATAACGCTACAGACGTACAAACGAACGAACGGTGGCGGCTATTCTAATTGAACGAGAGTTGTGGATGCGGATATGGAGGACGAGTATATAACAGGATGCTGATTATGAGGCTGATGATGGCATTGTATTATTGTATTGTAATCATTAATTATGCGTAACATGTGACAAAACTACGTTGCTATATACACACAAGGATTCATTTATACATTCAAATGCACACGTACATGTCAACGACCAACTGACCGAGTTATGTACTTATGTCACAAACATAAACAATTCATGAATAAAAATGACGATGCTCATTTGCCAGATGACACTTTACGACAGCAAACATAATGACACTTTAGCTTATTGTCACATGAATGAAATGAGTTTTTTTTTTGTTTTTTTTTTTTTTTAATATTGTTTTGTATTAAACATTATTTGGTTGTTTGGTTTAAAATCACTTTTAATCACAAGCGTATGGAAAACGTTAATATTATTACACAACAATGATTTTTTAAGAGATTAATATTTCCATAGAAGATTATAGGTTTATACATAATACATTTTTTATTGATGTTTAAATCCACTTAACGTTTAATTTCTCTGTACTTGTTTGAAATATGTGATTATCATCAATGGTAATTGACAAAGCTGCATCACAACGATTAACCATAAGAGTACACTTCTACACTACATACATATGTATGTACATATGTGGGTATATATGTATGTATATACATATGTATGTAGTATAATGTCACTTTTGAACACATCAAGCAAAATAAAACATAAATGGGAAAAAAACTTTCCTCACTTTGTTTAATTTGCTTTTAGAAATAGAAAAAAATACACATTCCAAATGCTTTCACGTTTTGGAATTTTTGCAAAAACAAAAAATCTATTTAATCTATAAAAATTCCATCACCCAAATTCGCAACAAAAATCACTCACATACACTCTATACACTATTGGTTCACTTTACTTCAATTCGAATTCAAATGACTGACATGCCAACCGTCTTTCAATCAATCAGTCGTGTTAGCTTTTTTTTAAATTTTTTGTTTCTTTTTTTTAATTTTAGAATTTCCTCTTGTTTGTTTTATTTTTACTGCTAAACTCTATTACTCATACGTACAGTATGACAGTGTGTATAGTAGAGGGTAGAAGAGGTGGTTGATACACAAAAAATATCCTTATTGTTGTTTCTTTATTTATTTTTTTTTTTTATTTCTTGTGGAAATAATGTGGCGTTTTGTGAAGCGAATTTAGAACCGTCCGTGATGATGAAGCTGCGATGACTGACAACACAAAAAGATTTTTCCTGCAACACGGTGAAGAAACATTATTAAAGCTTTTATATTTACTACTACCAATTGTCCTAACGTAAGCTCTGAGAGCATCTGAAGTGGTGGATTCTCTCTGTAGTATGGTGAGTTTTACTCTATTATACTCCATATTTCTTCTCAAAGAATATTTTCTATCTGTGTGTATGGTTGTGATAAAATGTAGCGGAAAATATATACGGCGTAGTCATCATAATAATAATTTTCAGCAAAAATTATGTTTTTTTTTTTTTTTTTTTTACGCTATATGTATATAAAGTGTTAATGTCGTCAACAGCTGTGATAAGATCACGTTAAACAAGATAAACAAGAAGTCATTGAATTTTAAATTGACACTAGCAACTGTTTTTTTTTTATTTTTGCTATCTTTCTGACATTCTCCTTTTACATATTTTCCTCATTGGTTTTGTTAGTATTGCCATTATTTACATATACTAATACTATTTGACAGCAAAAAAAAGTATCTCCTCTTGTACTACATCATTTCCACATAATTCAAAAACGCTGCACAGTGGTATAGGAAAAAAAAGAGGGAAATAATTCGGTAACTTCTAAACGGTTAATCCGATTTTAATGAAATTTGGTATGCACAAAGAGGAGGTGTTGTCGAGTTTAGGTTTTGAATTTGGACCTTATAGGCCAACCAGGGGCCCGGCGGGGGGTCCTCAAATTAGGACACCTCGGCTATGTTAAATTTTTAAAACGATCCTATTTCTTCATTTGAGTTTCGATTTAAAAAAAATTTCGTATATAGAATCTCCTCATCGAGCACTATAAAAAAAAATAGCAGTAAATTATCTCTTATAGTTTAGGAGATATTCGCATTTGAATATTAAAATTTTAAAATTTTTACCGTCCTTACTTTAGTTTTTTTGATAATAGCAGGTCCAAATATTTCCGATTTTCGCCATTTTTTTTTATTTGCTTAACAACAAGTTTATATACCAAGCAGTGAAAGAATTATGTAAAAATCATGACTGAGTCCAAAGTTATAGGCATTTAAATTTAAAAAATTAAAAAAAGGCGATTTTTTGACATTTTTTTGGGAAAAAAGTATCTTTTTCTTTTTAAGTTATCTAAAAAGTTTCTAAGAAGATGTATATAGAATTTATACTTTTTGGAAAGCTGACTTTACATAAAATACGATAAATGAAACAAAACCTAAAAATTTTTGATACCGAGGGGACCAGGTCCATCCAAAAAAACCCTATTTTTTATGGAAAATTAAATTTTGAGCAAAAATTCTCAAATCGCATAGTCGATATCAAATTATAGTGACCTGTTTTATATGACCCAATAAGTTCTTAATCATTTTGTAACGGGTTTCGATAACCCCGCCCCTGGTATGGATATAATAGGCAAAAAACCAAAAAATCCCATTTTTGGGATTTTTTAAAACTTTTTTGGGAATTCCGGGATTTCTAATAAGAAAATTCGAAATTTTTATTTAATTTTGGATTTTGAGTAAAAAAATCTACCTAACTGTAAAATTTCATCAAAAAATATTCATAAATAAAATTTTTATTGCAATTTGAAAAATTTGTATCTTCGCAAAAACTGTATAAAAAACATTTTTTAATTTTTTTTTAAAAAAGTATTCCGCGAATTTTTTAATTTTCAAAAATTTTATACAGTTTTGAAAAATAGACAAAATTACCTTTCCATTGATATATAACATGCCTACCTAATGTTTTTTAAGTGACAAATTAATTAGGGAAAACTCAACATCTTTTAGAAAATTTGCCTAGCACTATTATTTTCATCCATAAGGTTAACTCTTAAATTTGTTACATATATGGATGAAAATAATAGTGCTAGGTAAATTTTCTAAAAGATGTTGAGTTTTCCCTAATTAATTTGTCACTTAAAAAACATTAGGTAGGCATGTTATATATCAATGGAAAGGTAATTTTGTCTATTTTTCAAAACTGTATATAATTTTTGAAAATTAAAAAATTCGCGGAATACTTTTTTTACAAAAAAATTAAAAAATGTTTTTTATTCAGTTTTTGCGAAGATACAAATTTTTCAAATTGCAATAAAAATTTTATTTATGAATATTTTTTGATGAAATTTTACAGTTAGGTAGATTTTTTTACTCAAAATCCAAAATTAAATAAAAATTTCGATTTTCTTATTAGAAATCCCGGAATTCCCAAAAAAGTTTTAAAAAATCCCAAAAATGGGATTTTTTGGTTTTTTGCCTATTATATCCATACCAGGGGCGGGGTTATCGAAACCCGTTACAAAATGATTAAGAACTTATTGGGTCATATAAAACAGGTCACTATAATTTGATATCGACTATGCGATTTGAGAATTTTTGCTCAAAATTTAATTTTCCATAAAAAATAGGGTTTTTTTGGATGGACCTGGTCCCCTCGGTATCAAAAATTTTTAGGTTTTGTTTCATTTATCGTATTTTATGTAAAGTCAGCTTTCCAAAAAGTATAAATTCTATATACATCTTCTTAGAAACTTTTTAGATAACTTAAAAAGAAAAAGATACTTTTTTCCCAAAAAAATGTCAAAAAATCGCCTTTTTTTAATTTTTTAAATTTAAATGCCAATAACTTTGGACTCAGTCATGATTTTTATATAATTCTTTCACTGCTTGGTATATAAACTTGTTGTTAAGCAAATAAAAAAAAATGGCGAAAATCGGAAATATTTGGACCTGCTATTATCAAAAAAACTAAAGTAAGGACGGTAAAAATTTTAAAATTTTAATATTCAAATGCGAATATCTCCTAAACTATAAGAGATAATTTACTGCTACGACGACATTTTTTATAGTGCTCGATGAGGAGATTCTATATACGAAATTTTTTTTAAATCGGAACTCAAATGAAGAAATAGGATCGTTTTAAAAATTTAACATAGCCGAGGTGTCCTAATTTGAGGACCCCCCGCCGGGCCCCTGGTTGGCCTATAAGGTCCAAATTCAAAACCTAAACTCGACAACACCTCCTCTTTGTGCACACCAAATTTCATTAAAATCGGATTAACCGTTTAGAAGTTACCGAATTATTTCCCTCTTTTTTTTTTCCTATACCGCTGTGCGCTGATTTGACTAAAAATGAAAACTGTTTTCAAGTAATTTCGGTTTTTAAGATTTTATTGAACGACTTGTTATTTTAGAAATTTTTTCTCCATATTATGCAAAGTTCTTTTACTTATTTACGGATGTTTTTAAGATTGTTTAAGAAAATTAAATATATTGGTTTTCTGTACTATTCAATTTCAAAATGGGTTGTTTTTTAATAACACAGGCCAACGATGAAAAAACTTTTTAAATAATTTTCACTAATCCCAGTGTTATTTGGTGTGCTGATTCCGAATATGGAAATAAAAACTTCGTATCACCCACCAATTTTTCACATTATCATCTTTTATTCCTTTTGACTGTGTCCTGGAGTCACAAATATACAATTCTGTAATTTTACACAAGTTGCGGATAGTGGACGTCAGTACCTCTAAACTTATACTTACAATTATAGAAATGCATTATGGAAAAATTTAGGGCGATAGGACTACGTTAACTGGTGACAGCACGGCTCAAAAGGTGAAAATGTTTTTTACAAAAATGCAAATAATTGGAATATATATTCAATTGTTGTTCCAATTCGATATAAAACACAAAAATCGGTCAAAAATTTAAAAAGTTATTGAAATATTAAAAAAATTTTTGGGAAATATTCTAATAAGATCATGTCATTACGTTAAATATATTCGTATTAACTTAAATATATGTGTTTTTGTACTCATTAGATACCGTAAACCGTATTTAGGTGTAATCACAAATGGGAAACCCTTCAGACGGCAGTTTCAAAAATCCAGTTTCAAACTTTTTGCAATTTTGTTAAGCAATTTTAAAAAATTAAGAAAATCTGCATGCGACCTATTGACAATAAAATAGTAAATAAATCAGGTCGACATCTCTCACATATTAGCGATTTGAATTTTGAGGATTTCAAAGAAAACAATTTTTTGTTAAAATTAAAAAAAAAACTGGCTTTATTGTTATGCTTTTTATATAAAACTTGTAAAGAATATATAATTCAAGATATTAAGAAACATGTATCTGAAGTTTAAGAAAAATCGAATAATGTTAACCCATAAACTGTGAATGTCAAACTCAAGCTATGCAATATTGGGAAATTCTGTTGAAACCGTAGTGAAATATTATTTTGTTTTCAACCGATTTGAATAAAACTTAGGAAAAATATATAATGAAAAACAGGTAATAATACATTAAGTGGTTTCAAAAGTTTTCACCAACCTTCATTTCGTTGGCCTGTTTAATTTTTTCATTATTTTACATATCGGCGTTGAAATTTTTAGTTAAATGTCGTTTTGGTAAAATATATTTTTCTAAAATATATCTTTTGTCTAATAACAACAAAATACTTATCAAGTACTTTCATATATCTGAAATTTAAAAAAAGTGCCAAAAATTGTATCAGAACAACCCATTTAGTTTGTATTATTCAAAAAGTTATATTCAATTTCATTTCATTAAAAAATTAATCTCTCAAACTGTATATCTGTAAAACTATTATACAGCAAACGTAGAATTGCCTTTTTACCCGTTTTAGCCCCTTCATGGTTGACCTTCGAAATACACATATGTATGTATATCTGATTTTGAATAATTCTCTAAGGCTTTAATAGACTTAGTGCAACATATATTCCCCTCAAACTTGACTTAAAAAAAATTACTTCATAATGTTGTTTTTTGTGATTTTCTTAAACTACATATCAAATTTCATTGAAGTCGAACAGCATTTCAAAAAGTTCCGAAAATAGTACGAAACTTATAATTACCCGTTTAATTTGAGTCCTTTGGTAAATTGAAATTTATATTTACATTTTATACAACAAAAATAGAATTACCAACAAAAATAGAAATACTATACCATGAATTTCTAAAAAGACAATCG